GCTCTTCTAAAATCCACTTTAAATACCACCCCTTTAAGACCTTGCTTCCTCCAAGAATCAATTCCTTCATTAGCTAAAAAAGCACAGTCCAATAGTTGCTTTCCCGGAATAAAAGCAAACTATGAAGGACTAATAATATCCTTAATACAGGAAATTAGTCTTTTAGAAAGCACTTTCGAATGAATTTTATACAGGCTGCCCACTAAACTAATGGGTTTATAGTCTTCAATGCTCTCGGGATTACCTTTCTTTGGAATTAAGGTAATAAAAGCATGATTAACACCGTGAGCCCACTTCTTTCCTTTGTAGAAATCTGAAAAAAAACACCATAATCTGCTCCTTTAGAAAATTCCAATATTTCTTAAAGAAACCCATGGAGAAACCATCTGGACCAGGAGCTTTAGCACTATCCAAAGATGAAATAACCTGCCATACTTCTTGCTCAGAGAATTCCTCCACCAAAAAAGCTCTTTGCGATGCTGTTAAGTGCGCAAAGTCAAAATTTAATCCTTCAGCCTCCATTGCTGAATTGGAATTATAAGCAGACTTGAAAAAATTGAGCACACTGCCTCTAATTTTATCTTTGTCCGAAATTAGTTCTCCATCTATTTTCAAAAAATGAATTATGTTCACTTTATTCCTTTTCATAGCATGAGGTGAAAGAACCTCGTATTCTTGTCTCCATTTTTAATCCATCTACTTCTGGACTTCTGACACCAAATACTCTCTTCGATCCTTAACAGCCTCCACAACTCCTTTAGAACAGCCAACTGATCCCACTCCCCCTTAGATAAAATTCCACCTTGTGACTTAATTTCCAATTCGGAAATCTCCGCTTCGAGCAAAGAAATGGAATCTGGCAGCCTTAAATGACTACTTCCTGGCCATCTTCTGATCTGATTTTTAGCAGATTATAATAACCTGAAAATTCCCCCATTAATCATCTTATTCTTCTCAGCTACAAACACGCCTTCAACAAAAGCATCGAAGCCTTGTTCCTGTAAAAGAAAATTAAAGAATCTAAAGGGTTTGGGGCCCCAGTTAAGATCAGCCTCCTTCAGCAAAACTGGATTGTGGTCTGAAATTGATTTCGATAAAAAGACACTGAGAAATTTTGGGAAAACTATTAAGGAATCTGCCACAGATAAGGAAACGATCTAGTCTAACCCAAGTAGAACACTCTCTATTACTGCACCAAGTAAAAGTCCCTCCAGACATGGGTAAATCCATCAAATTAGCTTGATGCACAAAAGATCTAAAGATATTTATCGTATGCCAATTCTGGGATTTCCCTAGCTTTTCTTCCGGATCAAGATACGCATTAGAATCCCCCCTATACAAACCGGAAGATTCAATGAAATAACAAAATTCAGCAACTCCCGAAAAAAACCCTCCTTTTCATCTTCAATAGTAGGACCATAGACATTAATAAAAACGAACTCCTTTGGATCGTGCAAAAAATTCCCCACCAGAGCCAAAAACCTACTGTGAACATGCTGTTTGGAGACTTTGAACACATTCTCATTCCACAAAGTGATCAGCCCCCCCTTAGACTCTTGTGCTGGAGACACTAACACACCCTTAAGCAACTTTCCTCCTATCCTCCTGACAATCGAAAGCTGACAATGTTGTAATTTAGATTCTTGAATAAAAATCAGAACGGGATTGACCTTCTTTACATGCCTTGCAACAGCAATCGATTTTTCCCTCTTCCCTAAGCCTCTAATGTTCCACGAAAGAATACAAAATTTATACATAAAAATGCATCACTCCCAAAACCAAAACCGCACCCTTAAACCAACAAAACCAAACCGGCATATCAACCTTCCAACACCACCTCCGAACCTTTCTCAAGACACAAATTTTTTTCGATAAATGCCTCCCTCCCTTCCTTGAACGAAATACCTAACATCTGACATACTTCCCATGTTTCCAATGCTTCCTCCAACAATTTATTAAAGGTACTAGAATACATAGTTGAAATCTCTGCCAAGCCCAAAGCTTTTGTAATTAAACCTCTTCTTTTCCTTCTGAAATTTCTTCGAGAACTTGAAGCAGTAAGGGAGGCTGCTTCCTTACTAGGAGAAACTTTACTACTAATCATAGGAACCATCGAAGTACTCTGAACAATGACAGAACTGTTGTTAACGAAATCCTGTCCCCTTTCCCGATTACTCAATGAAAGCTGCAGACTGTCAACTAAGTCAACACTGATCTGATTATGATTCAGAATGCCCTCATGACGCGAGTTTTCCTTTTCAATACCCGAACATAACCAGACTCGTCTAGCTTTTGACCTTCTATAAACTCTAACAAAGCAACTACAACCCCTCCTATTGTCCGAAGCACTTCTTAATGACATGCATTTAGAAACTTGATAACCCAACTTCCATCTCCTGGAGCTCTTCACTTTCACTTTGCTGGAATCCTCCTGAAGCGCAGGTCCTTCAATTTGTTCGCTCATACCATTAACTTCAACTTCCTGAGGACCTTCAATAAAATCCTCTGTAATGTTACAACCAGCGTCCACCATACACTCGGGAGAAGACTGAACCTTATTGGGAATATGAAGCCTGTCCCGAAAAAATTCCACAGCAGGCCCAATAGGTGAAATCTTAGAGACGGGGGAGTGAACCTCCCAATCAGAAACAGAATGGGCTAAAAGACTCTGGCCCATTACCTCTCTCAACCCCAGACCCGCAAAATCCCTAGTGGGATCTAGCTCCATTTCGAAATTCTCTGACACCCCATTACTGTTGGATTTCGTGAAAGAATTCTGTTTCAGAGAATGTTCCCCACCTTCATCGTGCCTCCCACTATCTTGAATATTCTCACTCCTGCCCACCTTTGACCTACCTACCTCAACCACCATTCCCCTTACGTCATCTTCAACCCTGATAATCCCTCCATCGTCCTCCTTCGAAAAATCTGCACTGTGTCCATCCGCTGAAAAAAAACTGCACCTCATCTCTGTTTGCAACAGAAACTCCTGAAAATTTGGATCCCACAATAATTTTAACTTTAAATGATCTACCATAAGCTCCAACAAAAATACGATCAGGAACATCAAATGGACTAGCTACCCTAATCAGCATTTTCGCCGAAGAGAGGTCCTCCCTATTTCTTGTTTCTTCCGGGATTCTAACAAAAGTACCCCACTTTCCTGCTAGATTTATTAGAAAGGTTTCACTCCATGTAAGGAGTGGTAATCCAACCAGCTCGACCAAGCAAAAAAACAAAGGAACACCATCTTCGCTCAACAACGGGGCCACCCAGTCGAACCAGAAATGAAACTCCTAGCGAAGATTCGACCAGGCCTTAACAAACTCTTCGTTTGAATTAAACACTATAACAGTGACATTCCTAACGAAACCCCACCTTACTAATTTAACCTTGAAACCCTCCTTTGCCAGAGCGTTTACCACCATAAGAAGCTGAAATGAATCTTTAATCACCCCTGTTAAAGAATTCATCACCCAACATGAGTCCTCTGAAGGAATGTACATATCCCATGCTTTCCTAGGTCCATTTGCACTCAAATTCTGAACCCCCTTATTCTTCAAAAAAACCTGCTCCGATGCCCTTGAATTCTTCACACTCAAGGCCTCCTTATAGGTTATGCTATCCCTCATACTCTGCAGATTCTTCAGACGAACCTTTTGTCCACCAAAGTTTTCACTAACGGACTTGATAACACCCAGCTGAGATCTTCTATCCTCAGATCCTCCTTTCTTCTCTTTCTTGTACTTAGCCACCCCCACTGAGACTCTCATTCCATCAATCAGCGTTCCATCAACGTTCAGCACTGCTCTTCTACAACCTTCTTCCCTCTCATATTGCACAAAGGCAAACGTAGTCGATTTATAATTAGGCTTAGCCAAAGAACTTGGAATAAATACTCTAACTACTCGCCCATATAGGTTGAAAATCTCTCTTAACTCAAACCTAGTAACTCTCTTGCTCAGATTATCAACAAAAACAGTCCATTCCTCATCAGAGGATGACCGACCCGACACACTTGCTCTCTTTCTCTCTCTACCTTTCCCACTCATGTTTTTTTTATCTTCATATGAGTTTTGCTAGGAAGTAATAGTATTTTAGAATCATCGATATATTAGCTCTCTCCTATAATACTTCTCTTCAAAGCATAAACGAAGTTGGCCAAATAATTTGGATTATTACAGAAGTGGAAAATTTGTTTTGTTTTTCCAACTTGAGAAGAAATGAAGATCTCAAAAGTGTGGAAAATTTCTATGGCTGATAACTTTCTTTGGTACTTGCAACACCGCGGAAAGCTTCTGAAGTTAAATTGTTAGGCATCTAGTTTGTTTGATATATTAACGGAAGTAGGTAGATACCCTGACATGCATTTTAAATTTTAATATGGCTTGTTCAGTCTGATAATATGGAATTATGGATCTAAACTTGTATCCTAGGAAACTTGGTGACTCTAGGAAAATAAGATTGTTTGATGCTTGTTAATTTCAAACAACACTTTTAGTCATCTAATTATCAGTATTTAGTTGGAAAGCTAAAAGCCAGTGAAACATCCCTCCCCCCACTGTAATTGATGTACGAGTTCCTTTTGCAGTTGGTTACCTGATCATGTCACATTATTGGCTCGCTTCAGTGGGGAGCCATCACCTGTAAAATCAACAGTGACAAAAGCAGTTGCAGAGTTTCGGCGTACTCATGCAGATACATGGAATGCTCAAAAGGATTCCTTTACTGAAGAGCAACTTGAGGTACATGCATAGAGCTATGAATGATAATGGATTTTCGATTAAGCTGAAAAATATGATGCTTAGCTTCTGTTTTACTATTTTCTCTTTTATGTTTGCAGGTCCTAGCAGATACATCGTCTTCGTCGTCATATTTTGCTTGATCTAGATCCTTGAGAGAGAGAGAGAGAATTTAGCAGAAATACAATGATTTAGAAATTTGTAATGACAAGTTTTTTGATTTTGTTGTTTCATCATAGTTGAACTATATAGAATGAGTTTTATTTACATTGCCAAATATAACCTTTTTCCCCCCCTCCCAAACTCCCACTAGAAGTTTATTGTTGGCCATGTAATAGAAATTATTGCCTACATATTTATTCTTTGTTGTTAAAGGCTTCTCTATAAATAGGATTGATAAGATCATCGGATGGCATGTCCCATAAGACGCAGTCTGTATTGAATATGCTTGATGCATTCTTAATTTCTTTCCCACCTTGAAATTCTTCTCCGTTTTCATCCTTCAATTTCTCGTGAGGCCTCACTTGTTCGCCTGCGGTGGATGTGCTTCCGGTGCACATACTCTGGCTCCACCGTGAGCCGGAGCCGCCCCCTTCGTTGGCAAAAGATGATGTGCCGTATTGATGGTATCCGCTCACGGATGCAGGGAAAACGCTGCAACCCCCTTCGAAATTAGTTGATGTTGTTCTCATACTAGTAGACTCCCACAGATTATTCATGGGTAGTATGTCTGGTTCTTGTATAGCCCTTGATAAATTCAGTTTGCTCTTCTCAACTGGATCATCCTTCTCATCTTGTTTGCTGCTCACGTAAGGGACTGTAGTATTATTCCCTTGTGCCACCAGATTTGATTGTTGAAGCTGGAAATCAATGCGTTTCTTAGTTAGGAGGTGGAGCATTTCGTCCTTGAAACACCCGAGGGCTGCTTCCGCTAGATGAGCCACCTGTGGCGGTGCAAGTGTGGTGGCTATCTCAGCCATGAGGTGAGAGAAAGGCTTGTGGGTCACTGGATCAATACCCATGCCTGAAAGTTTCTTCTTGAGCTTGGTGTTCCAGTGGTTTTTAACGTCATTGTCAGTCCGGCCAGGTAGCTGAGCTGCAATCAAGGACCAGCTGCAATAGGATGCCATTTTCGACGCAGTTAGTAGCCAAACTGAAATATGAATGGGCAAAGCAAGAAAAAGAGAAGTTGAAATAGGGTGGCTTTTATCTGGTCTGGTCTAAGCAGCCATTGTTCGCAGTGTGTTACCGGTTGCCAACAACAGAGTGAAGTTTGACAATGGTTTGCTCCTCAGTGTCCGAGAATTGGCCGTGCTTAAGGTCGGGCTGAAGGTAATTAGTCCATCGTAAGCGGCAGCTTTTCCCACATCTTTGGAGACCTGAAAATTCAACGCCATCCCAAATTCTCATAGTTCTAAAACAGAGAAAGAACACGTATAAACACAATTGCATTGCGTGGCATGCAAGAAAGGGGGGGGGGGGAACAGACCAGCATTCTTGGGGATGAGGCGCCAATTGCGGGTGCCATGTCGTGCGATGTAGGAGGAGAGCTTGTTGTCTTCCTCAGGTGTCCACTGTCCTCTTTTCACATTGTCCTTCTCACAACATGGAATCCTACCCATCTTTTTTTATATTTCTTTTTGTTTTTTACTCTTCACTCCATAAACAAATGCTAAAAATAAGTTTAAGGGACTAGGCAACAAGGAAAGGGTTTTGTTTAGTTTGCTTTGCTGGGTTGATGATGGGATTGAAATAAAGAAGAGAATAATTTGGGGGATGGGGGTACATTTAAATTGTAAAGGGTATAATATTTATATAGAAAGGGGGAAGAGAAATAAGAGAGACGGCATCAAAGGTGCATGATTTTATTAAAGAATTCAACGCTGTTGAGCGTGTGAAGGATAGGCCGGTAGCTCACCCTCAAGACGCCCGGTCAATGCTCTCTTTCTTTGACTTTCATCATTCATTTTCATGCTTCTGCTTCCACCCCACGTGTGGTCCTGCCTGTGCTGCACCATCACTTTTCTTGCTTTACTTCTCACAATCATTTTATTGCCCTTTTTAGTACAACTCAAGACTTAGGAAAAAATTTCTACTTTCAGTCCTCCAAAACACCATAAAAGCATAATTCACTATACATAACACATATTCAAACAAATTACTCTCTTAATGCCAGATTTCTACCCACATCCTACCTGAATTATGTCTACTCTTTGTTAGATGAATTTAAAGTTTTCCCTTTGTTTTAGGTAGAACTGTAGATGATACGAGACAAATCGTTAGTTGCTTGAGTTTCATTTGATCACAGCTCGACCAACATTCTAATCAAACGATTTCGACTCAAGCTCGAACACAACTCAAGTTTTTAAAGAGCTGAAATGAGTTACTTGATAGCCGACTAAAAAATCTCATGAACATCTTGAAAAATTAATACATTAATTTTTTAAATTAAATTATTAATAATATTAATATTTATATGTTATTTTTTAAATGAAATATATGATTTTTTATGTACTTAAAGTTCACGTTCGAGCTTGAATTGAGATTGAGTTCGAGTTTTAATCGAGCTAAGTTTGAAAATATTTCAAGTTCAAGTTTTTTCAAACTCGAGTCAATCTTCAATTTTTTATTTCAAGTTCGAGTTTAGTTGACAATTTTAAACAATTGAGTTCAACTTTAAACTTTTTTAATCGAGTCGAACTCAATAATACTCAAATTTGATTCAGCTTATAGCCCTAGTTTTAAGTTTAGAGATTATAAACAGATTCAGAATTTAGAGCAAATTCGGATTTTATAAAAAAAATAACGTCATAATATAAAACTTGTAGCTCATGAACCTAATTTTCACAAGCGAACATAATATGTAGTTTCAAAATTTCTACTTTACAAGTGCGATCAAAATGAACTTTTATCCTAGTTTTGCACTAACAATCCCCTGAATCGATCCTATCAATCCCACAATTGTGACAAGCAAGCAAAAAAAGCTGAAAGCCCTAAGAACAACCCATTTTCTGGTCCAGGGCTGGATTTTCATCTGCACGAAGTACATCTCCACAAGGAAATATATGGCCAAAGGCCAAAAGTTCAGTGCCCCCAACACTCCTAGTACTTGGTTGAAGTAGGGGAAGATCATCACAATCACAGTTGTCGACGCAATTTAGGCTGTCCGAAAGCATATCTTGAGAGGATTCATTTGGAACGAAGGCAAGAATGGGAGTTTGACTGTGTACAAGTTATTCACGAATCCACTGCTTGGGAACTTGCTGGTAAACCATCTCTCCACAAATGCAAACACTGGCCGACTAAATATCTGCAACCAAAAAGATATGAACAACAGGTGGTCTTAACATGATTGTAATAATATATATGTCATTCTGACTCATTCATTTTTCTTGAAATATCGTGTCACGCTCCCATTTTTGACTCGTATCTAGACATGGGATAGACAGACATGCCATTTAAACAAGTCAGGTTGGTTTTGAGTTGTGGACATATTGGTTAAGTCGATCTCGGTTTGAGTCAATTCAAGTTTCGGTTGAAAGAGTTCTTATCTATGTTGCACTGATACGGATAAGGATACAAATTTCAAATTTCAAGATTCAAACCATAATATTAACTCTTGAATAATAAAATCCATACATTGTTAACATCTTCCAAAATTAACTGGCTTTCTAAATCCGGCTCATCTAACGAGAGTTTGGCAAATTCTAAACATCCAACATCTCCCAATGAATCAAAAGCATCTCCACCAACATCCTACATCTTGGTTTTCTCATCCTCATATTGACTAGAACTCTTTCATAAAAGACGAAGATTGTAGTGGATGTAAATTAAATATTCGGCACGACTCTGATTTAACTTATTCCTCTTAAGCTTTTCACTTTGTTCCAAAAAACCTGTAACCCTTTTACTGCAAATACATGAAACAACAATTATGCTAACTGTGTTACCTTCCAATATAATATTCTGACTCTTTAGAGGCCAACTTCAAATTCCAAATAAATGAATACTCACTCCTCCACAACCAAAACCTAAACACCACAACTGTGGGGACCAATTTACAGTTTCGATATCGAGCCGCCTATTCTATGTATTATCTATTCCTTTTCCTTCTCTCCAACGACTTCGACTGATGCACTTTCTTACCTTCTCTTTTTCCCTGGTCGAAAAGTCTAATCATCCCAGTCATTTTTCCAGCCATCTCTGTTCGATGATCATGCAGTTAGGCCATTTGCTGAGATTTTCGGTACATTGCGTCGTCCCATTGGTGATTTCACTGCCTTGTCCTCGTCCCAATCACTATCCCATCCCTGGTCCCAACCTTCAGCTGTTTCTTCTTCAGTAGCTGCCATGGATTCTGGTAATCCCATTTCTAGATCTTGGTAAGATATACCGTCAGGCCGTCTCTTCTTGCTAAACATACAACAAGCCCACGACCCTCCGAAAACTAAAACTGTTGCAATCAAGAAGTATGCTCCATTTACTGGAGTCGGCAACTTGTCATAAGAAGGAAGATTTAAGAAAGGGTTCCCTTTGGATGCAAGGGGGTTCATGTGTAGCACACAGTCTCCATTTCCAGCACTTACCAATAGCTCACCAGCACTTTCAAGGGGGTTCATGCGTAGCACACAGTCTCCTAAGATCCAGGGGACGCATGTGAAAGTCACATGCTGTCCCCACGTCCCCAAGTCTCGGTGAAACATCTCCGACGTCGTTCAACCGTACCCTGCCACCGTGGCACGTCCATGGTATGTACCCGTGTCGTCCCCGTATCGAGTACTTGAAACGGCACAACTATGGCGTCCCCGTGCTTCCTAAGTTCTTATTGTTGAGGGTTGAGAGGGACATGATTTTGGTTATGATTACACACTCAAGTTTGAATAACATAAATCAACATTGGCAACTATGCTCAGAAACTTAATGAATATTCAATATAGAGTGACATACCTAATATCCTCCCACCAGATGAAGAACAATGCATGCATTAGCAAAGTCGATCAGCCAGCAGGGTTCAAAGAATCCAAATCCTGTGAGGAGATTCCCAGGCGTGTTGTTGCCAAATGCAGCATATCCGAAGCAATCACGGAAGAGGTAGAAGAAGGTTGTTACAAATATTGCTATCATTGAGGCCATTTTCATGGTCTTGTTCTCTGATGGAGGTGACTTCAGGGTATCCTATATTCAAACAATTTCATGATTCAGTTAGGATCCTACACATTTCAGGGTCGAATTCTGGTTTTCGTCCCTCGACTGCACTTTAATTCGACGTAGTTTAATCAAGTGACAAGATTATAAAAATAGATAGATTAAAATGTCAAAAATGAGGACAAAATCTCAATTTTAAGCACTGTAAAGGAGACCAACAACATAATTTGATATTCATAAGAGCATTCAGCTTATACTGTGAAAATAATTTGTTTTAAAAAGGAATGAAACCATACCTGTATTTCAAGAAGAATGATTGTATATGGATAGGCAAATGCAATTTCTCCAAGCGACTGAAATACTAACCATAATTTATCAGCCACACTAGCAGCAGGCACTCCGGTTATACTCCCCTTAATCGTCCCATTTTCTGCAATCAAAGACTTGAGTCTTAAGTGCAAATCCACTTATATTTGTTCTCAGATAAACTCTTAAGTTTGAACAATAACACCGATGACGAAAATTAAAGGCAAGTTTTTGAATTTCGCAGGTATTTATACCAATGACTTGCGCAAACCCAAGTCCAAACCCTATGAAGGAGTAAGTGAAGGACATGATTGCAGCAACAACAGAAAGCCATGCCATGTTATGGAAATTTGGTATATGTGACATCACAACTTGAACAGCTCCAAATAGCAGCATAAAGTAAGTATCCCCATATGAACATGGAGCATCGTGCCCTTCTCTGTGGTAACAGTTTGATTTCTGAATTGCTCTACATTTGACAAAAAAGAAAAATAAACATAAAAATAGATAGGAAAAGAGTAGCAACTAATTAAAGAAAAGAGAAACATTAAAACTTAATACAATCGGATGAAGTAAATCTTGTATGGGGTAATTGGATACCTATGTTACTTGGAATCCGATATGAGAAACGAGTGTGGGTACGAATTTTATTGAAGTTTGTCCGTATATTTAACGGCTTAATAATAGATCATATCCCAATACTCATGTCTGGGTACGACGAATATTTAAAGGAAAATGAAGAGTAAGTGACGGGATATTAATTAAAGGATTTCATCAAGTACCTCATACAGGTTGAAGTTGTTATTACATAAGCAATGCCAGTACCATACAAACTCAGGTTTTGAAGAAAAGCACACATTCATGTGCGGTTTCTAACTGAATTATTCAACCAAATTAGGATTCATAGAAGGGAAGTTACTAAAGGGTCATTGAAAAAAGAGACGACAAAGAGTGAAAAGTTTTAGTTTAAAACTACCAAGATAATGCCAAACAGCATCCGTGTAAGACTTGATTCGTGTTCCGTCATCGGAACGATAACAATCTGTCATGGAAGGAGATGAGATAGCAGCATCAAGGAATGAGAATGAATATACAGGAGGAGCTGGCAATGCAGAAGCAGTAACCAAGGACACCCGAGAAATTCGCAGAAGTTTGAGAGAGAGAAAGGCACCCCAGGCATTAACTGATTTTGTCCGCTACTGTGGATTTAAAAAATATAAATAAAGGAGCATAAAAAACGTGAAGGCATCTGTAATCCTTGGATTTTATTTTCCCAACTTTAATCTACTTTCAATTTTCTCTCTTCCTTATCTATATTTTATGGTTTTCTCTGGTTTGATCATAGCAATTTGGTGCTTTCGTTGAGTTTCAATACCATGGTGAGTAACACTGAAATAATCAAATCCTTGCAGGAGACAAGTACACGTCACGATCAACTACTGACCTCTCTTCAAACTAATACGGAGGATCAAAAGAACTAGAACACCTTCACTCAAAAAAACCCTTCAGGAAGTCCTACGAGAGTTGGCGATGATTTATGCACAGTTGGGCACTATGATAACTACTTCTGGGAAGGCGACAGTTCTGTGGATATCGGGAGTACTCGAGGCAAAGCGAAAATACGAGCTGAATCTGAGGATATATTTCCTTTCTCTCCAAAACCGGTCCAAGTAAAATTATCCCTATTCAATGGGAAACACCCAAAGGAGTGATTGGCATCTACCAATGACTTCATTGGATTTTATGGCACTGAAGACCATCATCAGGTAACAATGGTGTCCTTCAGAATGGAAGGAACTGCCAAGAAATGGTTTCGTTGGATGCAACGCCAACGACAATTGGCGGGTTGGCACCATTTAGTCGGTGTAATTCGACGATGATTTAGAGTAATGGAAATCGAATCGCCAGAAGGGCAGTTGTCCAACCTGGTTCAAATCACGACAGTGGAAGATTATCAAACACACTTTGAAGATATGGCTCTGCGTATAGCCATCCTCTCTGATGAATTGTTTACACAATGTTTTGTGTTTGGGCTTCTTGCAGATATTAAAAATGAGGTCTTGGGACATCGTTCTAATTCAATGAGTGAGGTGCTAGCTTTGGCCCGATTTCTTGAGGCCAAGTTCAATGCGACACGAAAGGCAATGGGTTGCATGCCAAGTATGAAACTACCTCCTCTTTTACTTACGCCCACAACATTTCCAGCGACGTCTAAAGCACAACTAAGCCGGCCACTACCATTAGAACACCATATAGTGTCTTCTACTCCTATGCAACCTCGTCGGATTTCTGTCGCTGAAGCTCAAGCACGACATGAGAAAGGATTATGTTATTATAGTGACGCTAAATTCATCTCAGGCCACAAGTATAAAGACCCTCAGTTATTCTTGTTGGATGATGAATTGGAGGATGAGCAACCAGTTCAGGCCACTACGGTGATGACAAATGAGAGCAATGAACTAGAAAGCTCTGATGATACTACATGCGAACAATCTTTGGTCTCCTTCAATGCTCTTATAGGCTACTTAACTCCTAACACTCTTCGCGTTATGCAAGAGGTTCGTGGATGCAGGTGAAAATTTTGATTGACGGTGGCAGTACAAATAACTTTGTCCAATCTTGAGTAGCAAAACATTTGGGCCCACCAATGATGGCAGTGTTGAATTTTAGGGTCTTGGTGCGAAATGGAGATAGATTACAAAATGAAGTTTATGTCCGCGATCTCAAATTCTGAGTTAAAGGTACCGAATTGATAACTGATTTCTACGTGCTACCATTGGAGGGTACTAAAATGGTCTTAGGCGTCGCTTGGATGGCCACTCTAGGGTTGGTGACTATGGATTTTGAAACGCTCAGTTTTCAAATTCATCAAGGGGATAAGGAATATTGTTGGCAAGGGGACACGGGGTTAGCTCCTCAATCCATACATTTGCATTCGTTACGACGTATGACAAACACCTAAGTTGTTGCTACGTGTTATTAGTTGCAAAGCGATGTACAACCGGCTACACATAACACTCTTAACACAGAGGATATGGAAAAACTATTTGTTGAAAACATTTTGATATTTTGATATACTAAATAATTTTGTTAATTAATTTTTATAAATTTTAAGATTATACTCGATTCAATTATTTGAATATATACAATTATTACTTAAAGTTTTAAAACGTCAATTTTTACTCCTTAATGAAAAATTAAATGAGATCTATACTAGAAATATTTTTGAAAGAATTTTTACTAAAGGTTTCAAACTTTAATCGAGTCAAAAAATCAATTTTAATATGGTAGTACCAATACTGCCTTAACAACATCGATACCATGCCAAAAGAATCTCAAAATGGTACCGATACCATGCACTGTATCGGTACCAAGTAATATAGTAGTACTGATACTATGGTTGTAGTATCGATACTACTCCTTTGGTTTTTACTCTAATATTTTCTAGAATCTCAAAATGGTACCGATACCATTGTCTGGTATCGATACTACTATATAGTAGTAATGATACTCCTTGGGACGGTATCGATACCATTGCTTTCTAACGGTCAAAATATTTGAATTTTATGCAGGTAGTATCGATACCATTGAGTGTGGTACCGAAACCACGACGCTCCTAGTAGTAATTTGAGTGGAAAAATTTACCCCAACGACTCTATTGACTCCCACAACAATTCCAACATTTAGAATTGATCAAAGCAGTATATAAACAAGGTTTCAAGCCATTGATGATTAAGAAAATCAAGAGATAAAGCCTTAAACATCAAGTTTGAGCTAAATTAAGCCAACATTATTCCATATTCATTTTTGGTTTCCAATAACACTTCTTGTTCTTATTTGTATTCATTTCTCAAGTGTTCTTATTTGTTCTTGAATTGTGCAAACATTTTCCTTGTGAGGTTTTCTTATAAGTTTGCAAATTTGTAATTTTTTATTTGAGAAAGTGTCTCGAGAATTTGGGGTATAATTCTTGAGGAAGTTGTAAGGTTACGCCTTGTCCTCAAAGATAGATAAAAGTTAGTGAATTTGTGGAAATCCTTAATGTGGATAGCTAAGGTAGTGGACGTAGACTTTGGTTGAGGAAGTCAAACCACTCTAAATCGTTGTGCAATTTGTTTCAAATTTTCTTTTATGCTTCCACAAATTTTAATTGCCAATTCATCCACTCTTGGCTATTTCATCCTATCAATTGACTCAACAATTGGTATCAGAGCTAGTCTCATTTGAAGGTTTAATCACCTCTTGAGAATATCCTAAAGGAGTTCAATCGTTATCAAAATCATCTATGGCCTCTACATCGAATTTTGAGATTGTTTTTTATTCTCAACCCATCAACAAGCCTCCATACTTCAATGGAGCCAACTATGCCTATTGGAAAAATAGAATGAAGTTCTTCATTCAAGCAAGTGATTTGGGAGCATTGAGCATAATGATGAAAGGTCACTCTACTCCAACCCGAGGCATGGAGATGTGGAGTGAAGAAGAGAAGAGGCTGTTCCAGCTCAATGCAAAGGCAATGCACATTTTATTTTGTGCCCTTGGATCCGATGAATATGGGAGAGTATCATCGTATTCAAATTCCAAGGAGATATGGGATAAGCTCTAAATCACACATGAAGGAACCAAAGAAGTAAGAGAAACCAAGATAAGTCTTCTCAACCATAGTTATGAGAATTTCAAGATGAAACCCGATGAAGATATCAAAGATATGACGAATAGATTTTTAGTGATTTTTAACGGTCTCAAGGGATTGGGAGAAATAATCTCTAATAAGAAACTTGTGACGAAGATGATTTACTCTCTTCCAAAATCTTGGTAATCGAAGAAGACGACGATTATCGAAGATAAAGACCTAAATTCTTTAACTCTCGATGAGCTAATTGGTTATCTTCTTACTCATGAAATGATGGTTAAAGAAGAGGAGGATCAAGAGAAGAAAGATGATGCAAAGAAAGAAATGGAGAAGAAAAAAAATATTGGTGTTGCTCTCAAATCCACTAAAGATGAGAGTGACTCTAATGATGATGATGAGGATGAAGAAATGGTAATATTTGCCAAAATATTGAGAAATTCATGAAGTCAAACAGAGGAAGAAGATTTCAAATAAATGAAGGCTTCAAAAATGAATCCAAGGAGAAGGATCTCATAATCTATTATGAATGCAAAAAGCCTAGGAATATTAAATTTGATTGCCCACAATTAAAGAACAAGGGTCTCTCCAAGAAGAAGTACAAAACACATAGTTACATGGAGTGATGATGAGTCATCCGATGAAGAAGAAGAGGAAGTATCTAACTTGTGTCTAATGGCCATCGATGAGGGATCTCAGGTAACCTCTAACTCATATACTTTAAATGATTATTCATTTGATGAGTTACAAGAGGCTTATGATGAGTTGGCTTTGGAATATGAGATCTTATTCAAAATATAAGAAAAATATTTCAAAATTGAAAAGTGAAAATGATCTCTTATCCAAGACCAACAGTGAGTTTGAAAGTAAGATAAAAAAAATATGCAAGTCAAATTAGAAGAGTTTGAAAAGAAAATTTCTAACTTGCACAACTTACTTTCAAGAGTTCATGATGATCATCAAAAGAAACTTTATGATCTTAAAGCTTCTTTCAATAAAGTTGAAACAAAACGATTTGAAAAAGGACAAAATTCAAATTCCAACTATGTTAGAAAGAACTTTAGACCTTACAATTATAGAGGTCCCCAAAAAACCTCAAATAGTAAAGTCATTAGATGTATATATGTCCCTAAAGGACTCGCTACTACTAAAGACAATGATATACTAAGTAAATGGATACCTAAGGGGACTAAGTTATTAAGAACTATGCCTATGGACCCAAAAGAATTTGGGTACCAAAAATCAAAAATTAATCTATGTTTGTAGATTGAGGAGCATTGCCACAAGGAACAAAACACAATCTTAAATTCATGGTACCTTGATAGTGGATGCTCAAGACACATAACCGGTGATAAGAGCCAGTTCTTGAAACTTAAAGCTAAAAATGGAGGAGTAGTAACCTTTGGTGACAACTCAAAATGTCACATTGTAGGAATAGGTTCAATTGGTAATAACTCCTCCATACTTATAGAAAATGTTTTATATGTTAATGGGTTAAAGCATAATCTCTTGAGTATTAGTTAATTGATACAATGTCTTATTTGAGTCAAATGGTTGTAAAATTGTTGGCATTGCATCTAATAAGATTATGTTTGTTGGTCATAGAATAGGTAACATTTACATGGTGCATCTAGATAACATCAACATGACTAATATATGCTTAGTTGCTAAAGAAGAGCATGATTGTTGGTTATGGCATAGGAAACTTAGACATGCTAGTATGAGTGTTTTCCAAAAACTTGTTCAAGGCAATTTAGTAAGAGGTTTGCCAAAATTGAAATTTAATCATTATAAAATTTATGATGCATGTGCAAAAGGAAAATATAAAAGAACTTCCTTTAAACCTATTAATGATGTATCATCTAGTAGAGTATTACAATTGATCCATATAGATCTTTTTGGGCCAAATAGAACTACTAGCTTGGGTGGAAAACAATATACATTTGTATTAGTTGATGACTACTCTAAGTTTACTTGGGTTCTTTTCTTAAATACTAAAGATGAAGCTTTAGAAAATTTCATCATTTTCTCAAAAATAATCCAAAATGAAAAAAGTTACAATATTTCAAGTGTTAAGAGTGATCATGGAACTGAATTTGAAAATCTTAGATTTGGTGATTTTTGTAATTCAAATAGAATTAACCATAATTTTTCAGCCCCTAGAACCCATCAACAAAATGATTTATTGAGAGGAAAAATAGAACTTTAGAGCAAATGGGTAGAACCATGCTTTGTGAAAATAATTTGTCAAAATATTTTTGGGCGGAAGCCACAAATACCGCTTGTTATGTGATTAATTGAGTAATGATTAGGCCTATTTTAAAGAAAACTACATATGAACTTTTCAAGAATAATAAGCCCAACATTAGTTATTTTCATCCTTTTGGATGCAAGTGTTTTGTTATAAATAATGGAAAAGATAATCTTGGAAAATTTGATGCTAAAAGTGATAAAGGAATTTTTCTGGGTTATTCTTTAAATTCTAAAGCCTATCATGTGTTTAATAAAAGAACTTTAGTAGTATAAGAGTCTATACATGTTGTTTTTGATGATAATCCCCTTCCGAGGAAGGATTCTTGTGTTAATGATGATGTAGGAATTTTAAATCCAAATGACGTGGGAGAATCATCATCTAAAGAAGAAGTGAAGAATGAGGAAACTCAAGACGATTTCAAGAATATAGCAATAGAGGAAAGGGAAGTCACATACCCAAGGGAGTACAACTATGTCAAGGATGGTGAGATTTTAGGTGATCCATCAAAAGGGGTAAGCACTAGATCTTCTCTTAAAAACTTTTGTAATTATATAGCATTTATCTCATGCATAGAGCTTAAGAATATCAAAGAAGCATTAAATGATGAACATTGGATTATGGCTATTCAAGATGAGTTAAATCAATTTGAGATAAGTCAAGTATGGACATTAGTTGAACGACCTAATAATTCTACTATAGGTACTAAATGGGTATTTAGGAATAAACTAGATAAAAGTGGTAATATAGTGAGAAACAAGGCTAGACTTGTTGCTCAAGGGTATACTCAAGAAGAGGGCATATATTTTGATGAAACATATGCTCCCGTAGCTAGGATGGAAGCAATTTTAATGTTATTAGCATTTGCATGTTTTCATGGATTTAAATTATATCAAATGGATGTTAAAAGTGCATTTTTAAATAGTTTTATAAAAGAAGAAATGTATGTGGAACAACCTCCAGGTTTTGAGGATTCAAAATTTCCAAATCATGTTTTCAAATTGACAAAGACTTTATATATTTTAAAACAAGCTCCTAGAGCTTGGGATGAAAGAGTGTAAATTTTCTTATTGAAAAAGTTTTTTCAAAAGGGAAGGTTGACACTACATTGTTTATAAAACGCAAAGGTAAAGATTTATTAGTAGTTCAAATTTATATTGATGATATAATTTTTGGTTATACTAATGATGTTCTTTGCCAAGAATTTGCTAAGCTAATGCAATGTGAATTTGAGATGGGCATGATGGGGGGAACTTTCATTTTTCTTGGGGCTCCAAATCAAGCAAAGAAAAGATGGTATCTTCATCAATCAAGCAAAGTACGTCAAAGATATGCTTAAGAAGTTCAGATTGGAAAATGTAAAACCCCAAGCCACTCTTATGAGCCCATCTACTAAGCTTGACAAAGATGAAGAAGGTAAATGTGTAGATGTTAAACTTTATAGGTCTATGATTGGATCATTGCTTTATCTTACCGCAAGTAGACCTACCATTATGTTTAGTGTTTGCTTATGTGCTAGATTTCAATCATGTCTTAAAGAATATCATTTACAAGCCATTAAGAGAATCTTTAGATACCTTAAGGATACTCCTAGTATATGAATTTGGTATTCAATAGACTCTAGCTTTATCTTGCATGCCTTCTCGGATGCGGATTATGGAGGTTGCAAATTAGATAGGAAAAACACCATGTCAATTCTTAGGAAACATGTTAATTTCTTAGTTTTCAAAGAAACAAAATAGTGTTGCATTATCTACTATGAAGCAAAATATATTTCAGTTGGTAGTTTTTGTGTACAAGTTTTATAGATGAAACAACAATTTTTAGACTATGGAATTAAAGTGGATATCATTCCTATCAAGTGTGACAATACAAGTGCTGGAACTAATTAGACATCACTAAAAATCTCATCCAACACTCTAGAACTAAGCACATTGAAATTAGACATCATTTCATTAGAGATCATGTCTTAAAAAAATATAGTTCTAGAACATGTAGATACTTTGCACCAATTAGCGGATATTTTTATAAAACCTTTAGATAAAGAATGATTTTGGACACTTAGAAGATAATTAGGTCTGACAACCTACCTTGATTTTGTGTTTAAAATAATTTTTGCACTTCTATGAATAAAGAAAAATGCATGAAAAAATGACATATTTAATGTCTTTTATGCCAATAGTTAGAGGGAGTTTATGATTTTTCATAAAATTAAACAAATAAGTTCAAATTATACTTAATTGTATATTTGATTGATTGAACATAATTAATTTTCTCAATTAGAGTTGTCTATATCACTATTCTTGTTAAATGTTGCATGTTATGTGTTTATTTGCAAATTTTTTACCATTTTGTGCACTTGCTATTGATACTACTCACATAGTATTGATACTACTCTTGTATGGTATCGATACTACTCGTATAGTATCGATATTGTTTTTAGTTAGTATCGATAGTGTTCATCCAGTACTGATACTACTAAATGGTTTTAGGCTATAAAACCCTAAAATCTCATAGTTTTGGCAGAACCCCAAATATAACACACTCAACCAATTCTCTTAAACCCCAGATCTCCATTGATTCAATCCAACAACTTCAAGTCAGATTTTTCGTTACTTTTCATCTTCTAAACCTGCTACTATCATCAAACTAGTGCATTCAACATCAAAATCTCATCTCAATCCAACTTTCAAGGTAATTTTTTTAAACACTATTTTATTTCTTTTCAAATCTAGAACTAGTTTTAGATAGTTTTAGTTTAAATTAGTGAATGTGCTTCACTTATTTTGTAGTTTTACAATAGATTCCACAATTTTTTTAAAAAAATATCTTCATAATTTCGAAAATTTTAAATAAAAAACATTTTGTTTGATTATATGTGTATATTATTGTTTTTCATAAAACTATACTATTGTTTTTCATAAAATTGTTTTTCACAATTTTTTTTTAATTTTGTAGCCCATTATAATTTAGTTTTAGGTTACCTTGAATTGAGGACTCATTTTGAGTTTTGGGATTAATTGTTTGCATACATATATTTGTTATCTTTGCATGTATACTATTCTAATTTTAGTAACATGTCTCATAAATGCCATAGATCATCCTCTAATCATGCCAATCAACCTCCAAACCCACCTCCAAATCCTCATTCCAATCCAACCAATATGACAATCTTAAACTCGTGTTTTAACGAACCTAGTCGTAGAAACCTCTATTCCAGGTATATAAATCACTTTGAGTCTTATTCTATTAGGTATGAGCGTCTTCCCTCTCTTAAGGCGATGCAACAAATGAACTTTAAATATCTACCAATTCTCTAAGCTTGGAAATTCGACAACACCTTCAAAGTCAAACCCGTTGTCTACCACCAGCTTGTCCGCATTTTCTAATACGGTTTGCATTCAAAATAAATCCCGTACTCAAACCAAAAGTATTTGTTCCTATCTCTTGGGCGAATACATCACAATTGATTCAGATTCTATAGCACGTGCTTTCGATTTTGAAAATATAGGAATTGATAATGAGCGAGATTTGTTGTCTTCCTCATATCAAGTAGGAAAGAATGCTAGTGTACTAGACTATCAAGAGCAATTTCTACACTTAATGATCTCTTGGTAGTTTCGACCATTCGAAGGAAAATAATCCTCTTTCCGTAATATATATATATGGTGGATACATTGTCTTGAAAACAATAAACGAATAAATTTTCCTCAAACCATATTTGGAGAGCTAGTAGAAACCGTCAATAATATACCTTCTAAAAGAGTCAAATCTTTAGTATACATTGTCTACTTAGTAATATTTTTATCAAAGCTGGTCTTAAAGTAGACCTAGATGTTTCCATCCCCCTAAGTACACAAATTGACTTCACCTCTCTTCGAAACTTTGGATGGGCTGGGTACAATACAAGTTGGACAGGATCAGCCATGAAGACTCCCAGTGCAAGTTCTTCACGAGCAGCTCAGACTCTGGCTTCGGTTCCTCAACTTGATGACTTTTTACAAGATGTTGATGATCCTGTAAATTGTGTTCCTAACGAAGAGCCTCCTAGCAAAAGTAGTGCAATGCCTCCATACTTTCAATCGCTGATGGAGACATTGGATTTAAGGTTTGCATCCATGGAGTCCCATTTTACTGCTATGGGAACCCAACGGGATGCTCGAGCTAGATTCAATGCAATGGATGATAGATTCAATGCAGTGGATGATAGGCCCAACACGCTTACTCGAGATGTTGCATCCTTTAGAGCACATCGATTCGATCCAGATCCACCATCAGATGTTTGAGCTACTACTCTTTGCTAGTTATTCTTAGGTTGGTTTCTTTTTGTTAACCTTGATTGTTATTTGATATTTTGATACTTTGGATTTGGTTGAATATTTATGTTTTTGAATGATTTATTTTATTTATAAGACTTTGCATTTCTTATTCATAATTTTGCATCATAATATGTTTATGACCATGCTCAAATACATATTGAATATTGTTAATGTGGACTAACCTCTTTTGGCTATCTTGATCTTCACATCTATACTTATATCTTGTTTATACTATATGAGTCTTTTTGATTTAACAAAAAGGGGGAGAAATATTAAAGTAAGGGAATTTTCAAAGAAAATCTTAAAATTTCAAAAATGTTTTGTTATATAAAAAAGGTGGAGATTGTTGAAAACATTTTGATATTTGGATATACCAAACAATTTTGTTAATTAATTTTTATAAATTTTAAGATTATATTCGATTCAATTATTCAAAATATATACAATTATTACTTAAAGTTTTAAAACGTCAATTTTTACTCCTTACTTAATGAAAAATTGAGATTTATACTGGTAATATTTTTGAAAGAATTTTTACTAAAGGTTTCAAACTTTAATCGAGTCAAAAACTCAATTTTAATATGGTAGTATCAATACTGACTTAATAGTATCGATACTGTGCCAACAGAATCTTTGGAGAGCTAGTAGAAACCGTCAATAATATACCTTCTAAAAGAGTCAAATCTTTAGTATACATTGTCTACTTAGTAATATTTTTATCAAAGCTGGTCTTAAAGTAGACCTAGATGTTTCCATCCCCCTAAGTACACAAATTGACTTCACCTCTCTTCGAAACTTTGGATGGGCTGGGTACAATACAAGTTGGACAGGATCAGCCATGAAGACTCCCGGTGCAAGTTCTTCACGAGCAGCTCAGACTCTGGCTTCGGTTCCTCAACTTGATGACTTTTTACAAGATGTTGATGATCCTGTAAATTGTGTTCCTAACGAAGAGCCTCCTAGAAAAAGTAGTGCAATGCCTCCATACTTTCAATCGCTGATGGAGACATTGGATTTAAGGTTTGCATCCATGGAGTCCCATTTTACTGCTATGGGAACTCAACGGGATGCTCGAGCTAGATTCAATGCAATGGATGATAGATTCAATGCAGTGGATGATAGGCCCAACACGCTTACTCGAGATGTTGCATCCTTTAGAGCACATCGATTCGATCCAGATCCACCATCAGATGTTTGAGCTACTACTCTTTGCTAGTTATTCTTAGGTTGGTTTCTTTTTGTTAACCTTGATTGTTATTTGATATTTTGATACTTTGGATTTGGTTGAATATTTATGTTTTTGAATGATTTATTTTATTTATAAGACTTTGCATTTCTTATTCATAATTTTGCATCATAATATGTTTATGACCATGCTCAAATACATATTGAATATTGTTAATGTGGACTAACCTCTTTTGGCTATCTTGATCTTCACATCTATACTTATATCTTGTTTATACTATATGAGTCTTTTTGATTTAACAAAAAGGGGGAGAAATATTAAAGTAAGGGAATTTTCAAAGAAAATCTTAAAATTTCAAAAATGTTTTGTTATATAAAAAAGGTGGAGATTGTTGAAAACATTTTGATATTTGGATATACCAAACAATTTTGTTAATTAATTTTTATAAATTTTAAGATTATATTCGATTCAATTATTCAAATATATACAATTATTACTTAAAGTTTTAAAACATCAATTTTTACTCCTTACTTAATGAAAAATTGAGATTTATACTGGTAATATTTTTGAAAGAATTTTTACTAAAGGTTTCGAACTTTAATCGAGTCAAAAACTCAATTTTAATATGGTAGTATCAATACTGCCTTAATAGTATCAATACTGTGCCAACAGAATCTCAAAATGATATCGATACCAAGTAATATAGTAGTACCGATACTATGGTTGTAGTACTGATACTACTGCTTTGGTTTTGACTCTTATATTTTCTAGAATCTCAAAATGGTACCAATAACATTGTCTGGTATCGATACTACTATATAGTAGTATCAATACTGCTTGGGACGGTATCGATTCCGTTGCTTTCCAACGGTCAAAATATTTGAATTTTATACAGGTAGTATCGATACCATTGAGTGTGGTACGAATACCATGACGCTCCTAACAGCAATTTGAGTAGAAAACTTTACCCCAACGACTCTATTGACTCCCACAACAATTCCAACACTTAGAATTGGTCGAAGGAGTATATAAACAAGGTTTCAAGCCATTGGTGATTAAGAAGATCAAGAGATACAAGAGAGAAAGCCTTAAACATCAAGTTTTAGCTAAATCAAGCCAACATTATTGAATATTCATTTTTTCTTTCCAAGAACACTTATTGTGTTTATTTGTATTCATTTCTCAAGTGTTCTTATTTGTTCATGAATTGTGCAAACATTTTCCTTATGAGGTTTTCTTATAAGTTTGCAAATTTGTAATTTTCTCTTTGAGAGAGTGTCTCAAGAATTTGGGGTATAATTCTTGAGGAAGTTGTAAGGCTACGCTTTGTCCTCAAAGGTAGATACAAATTAGTGAATTTGTGGAAATCCTTAGTGTGGATAGTTAAGGTAGTGGACGTAGACTTTGGTTGAGAAAATTTGTTTCAATTTTTCTTTTAAGCTTCCACAAAATTTTAACTGCCAATTCACCCCCTCTTGGCTATTTCATCCTATCGATTGACTCAACACTATTGTATGAATTTGAGAAGGTTTTTGTAGATCCATACAGTTTACCTCTGATGAGAGAAATCGATCATGCTATTCACCTGCAATCTATGAGTAAATCGGTTAATGTCAAGCTAAACAGGTATCCTTATTTTCAGGAGGAAGTAGAACGTCAAGTTTGGGTCATGTTGGAAAATTAGTTGATTCACAAGAGTAATAGCCCTTTTTCTTCCCCAATGCTCTCGTAATGAAGAAGGATGGAATGTGGCGGTTTTGTGTAGACTATTGTGCTTTAAATGCAATTATAGTTAAAGATAAATTTTCGGTCCCTAGTGCCAATAAACTGTTTGATGAACTAGGTAATGCTCACTTCTTCTCTAAGTTAGATTTGCTTGTTCGATATCATCAAATTCAAGTCAAAGCTAAAGATGTTTCAAAAATGACATTCCAAACACATGTCGGGCATTACGAATTTCTCGTAATGCCATTTGGATTAACAAACATGCCATCCACTTTCCAGGCAACAATGAACGATCTTTTTCACCTATTTCTACTTAAATTTGTTTTTATTTTTTTGTATGACACACTTGTGTATAGTTGAAATTGGAAGGAACACTTAAACCATATACGACAAGTGCTACAAATGCTGCAAGAGAATGGTTTTGTTGCAAAACACAATAAGTGTACATTATGACAAACCTCAATGGAGTATCTGGGCCATATAGCTTCTCGAGAGGGTTTGTCAGTAGATCCTTCAAAGGTTGAGGCAATCAAACTGTGGCTGATACCTACAATGATCAAGGATGTGCAGAGCTTTCTAGGCATCGCATGATATTATCACAAATTTATTAGAGGATTTACAGCCATAACAACGCCAATCTCTAATTTGCTTCGCAAAGGATAACCATTTGAATGGACTAAAGTAGCTAAAAAATCCATGGATAACTTGAAATTATGTCTTTGTTCTGCTCCAGTGTTGGGATTACCACAATTTAAAAAAGAATTTCATGTCGAAATTGATGCTAGAACAGGGATAAGAGTTGTTTTAACCCTAGAATGTAAACCTTTGGCATATTTTAGCCAAAAAACTTAGTCCAAGAATGCAAGCTTTTCCACTTATAACCGTGAAATGTTTTCCATCACCCAGGCAGTAAGGAAATGGCGGCAATATCTGGTCAGACGAAAATTCAGCATCATTACTGATAAAAAATCATTACGAGAATTGAACCAGCAGACTATACAAAATCCATAACGAGAAAGATGGTTGTTAAAATTAATCGGGTATGATTTTAAAATCCGCTATTGACCGGGAAAACTTAATAATATTGTAGATGCATTGTCTAGAGAAATCGAAGCTACTCTCATGGCTTTCTCTCGACCACTATTTAGCATTATTGATGATATACAAGCAGCAAGTCGACAAGATGTTGATATTCAACATATTCGGGATAACATTCTAAAGGGTGGGACTGACTATGCAAGTTATGAAGAACATGAATGTTTGATGTTGGGTCAAGGAGAATTATGGTCCCTCATGAGGCAACATTGCGATCACTATTATTAAGAGAATTTCACAGTTCATTGATGGGGGGACATGCTAGTATTACTCGTGCATTTCAAAGATTAACTGCCAATTTCTACTGGAAGGGTATGAGGAGAGATATTCGCCAATTTGTCTCTGAATGTCAAGCTTGCCAACGTATGAAAAGCTCTAGTTTGGCTCCAGCTGGTCTTCTTCAACCACTTCCCATTCCCAACCAAGTATTTGAAGATATCTCTTTAGACTTCATTGTGGGCTTGCCGAAATCTAATGAGAAGGAGAATATATTAGTGGTGGTCGATCGAATCACTAAATACAGACATTTTTTACACTACCTAGGAACTTTGATAGCAAATATGTGGTTGATATTATGGTTCAAGGGATCGTAAAACTTCATGGAATACCAAGAAAAATAATCAGTGTCAGGGATCGAATTTTTGTGAGCAAAATATGGATAGAAATGGCCAAACTACATGGGACTGACTTGTGTTTAAGCTTAGCTTATCGCCCACAAACTGATGGGAAAACCGAAGCTTTGAATCAGTGCCTCGAGATGTATCTTCATTGTATGGCAGGGGATGATCTGGGTAAGTGGGAAAATACTTAGCATGGGTTGAATACTAGTACAATATGGCTTATAAGACTTCATCTGGAATGACTCATTTTCAAACTTTGTATGGGCGCGAACCTCCCACCATCGTTCACTACCAAGAAGGAAGTTTTCCTAATGCTCAGGTAAATCGTGACTTGCAAGAGTGTGATGCGTTACTTAGGGTCTTGAAGCACAATTTAAGTCAAGCACAACGACGTATGAAAACTTAGGCAGATAAGCATCGACGCGAATTGGAATTAGAATAAGGTAGTTTGGTCTTTTTGTTGTTACAACCTTATAGACAATTTTCGTTACTACTACGGAAAAATCATAAGCTTGGTCCACGATTCTTTGGCTCTTATCGAGTTATAAATGCATTATACCTATCGCTTACAAGCTAAAACTCCCGAATTCCTCTCATATCCATCCAATATTTCATGTGTCCCAACTCAAACCTTAGCCTCTTCAACAAATCACTCATTTGCATTTGCTAACAGAGAACTTTGTTCCACCTGCAGCAACTGAGAACATTGAGGACAAGGTACTTCTTTCAGGAGGGAGTACTGTCATGGAATTAGTTGAGATAGCAGCTTCAAGGAATGAGAATGAATATACAGGGGAAGTTGGCAATGCAGAAGCAGTAACCAAGGACACCCGAGAAATTCGCAGAAGTTTTAGAGAAAGAAAGGCACCCCATACGTTAACTGATTTTGTCCGCTATTGAGGACTTAAAAAATATAAATAAAAGAGCATGCAAAACGTGAAGGCATCTGTAATCCCTGGATTTTATTTTCCCAACTTTAATATACTTTCACTTTCCTCTATCCATTCTCTGTATTCTCTGGTTTTCTTTGGTTTGATCATAACATAATCAGAAAGAAGGATGAAAGATAAGAGATAATAGCAAAAATAAGCAACGTCGTGTACTCCATGCCAAAGACAAAACTCTAGAGCCTATAATAGTAGTGAATATGTGCGTCATACAACTCCACAAGATCCCTGATTGAGTCCCCACGAAAACACATTGTAAGGTTAAAACTCTATTGGACCAAAACCAAAAGAACATAATACTATTATAAGCCCTTTAGTCCTATCAGTTCTTGCAGGATGTCCATCATCATAGCAAGTTCCATTAGCAAGTTTGAGGGAGTGTTGAACCATTTTAAGGAACAATTTAGAAGAAGGCAACATGTATCAATAAGAAAATTTATGAGCAATACATCCAAAAAAGGGTCTAAGGCCAAATTTGATTACAAAACCAGATCACCCCTCAGACTCAAAACACTTGAATGAATGTCATTCATATAGGCTAATTTCTTTTAATATAAACAAAGATCTATTTATTCACTTGATGCAAATCATGGATCTTGCAGATTGTATAGAAGATGAAGCATAATTAAAGAGTAAAGCTCTGGAAATATATATAAAAAAGAAGTTTTAGATATCATAGAGTTATTGCTCTTACAATTACATTGCTAACTTATCGTCAGTGACATCTCTAACTACATTAAGCAAGCCACGTTACTTTCTGAACAACGCCTAGAAAAGTCCATTTGATTGAAATTGAAAGATCTATTTAACTAGTACTTGAATGAACTTGATTCTTTTGGACTTATAGGAGATCATACTTTTTTTGTGAGGAATTCGTTGGTGATTCATGATTAAGAGCAACAACTTTCTTAGCAATAGGTTGATGTAATTGTAAGAAACATGGGTGACCTCACCCATAGTGAGCTTGTATGGAACTTTTTTAGTTCCTCTAACTACTACTGCCTGATAAGGATATATCGAATTTGTGAAGCTGATTGGTGAGTTCAGAACTTATATGTAAAACAAAAGTGGTTTACTATGGGTTTGACGTGAAAAAGAGGACCATAGTTTGCCTAATTGTCAAACTAGTTGCAAATTTTAGAGTCTGGTACGGCACATGTAATGCCCCGATTTATGGGTCAGTAGTTTCTGTCAACCCAAAACCAAATATTAGAGCCCGTTAGAATAAATAGAATCATTCTAGATCAATTATAATGGGTATTTGGCCTAAGGAAGGCCCAAGAGCTAAGTTTAGTTATAGTTTTAAATTAAATAAGAAAAGAGATGGACCTAGATAACAATTTACCCTAGCTTATTTTAAGGTTATAAACTTTCCCATTCTCCATAAAATTCCACGTAAAAAATCTCCTTTTTCTTCATTTTCTCTTATATTTTCTTCTCTCGTTTCCTTCTCTCATTTCCTTCTCATTAGCAAACCAAGGTGAGATTTCAAGCTAGATTGAAGAATCCAATGTAATTTTCTTATTCTCCATTCCCTTAGCATCAATTAGAGCCATTAATTTCTAGTTTTGGTTAAGTTTTTAGAAATGGGTTTTAGAAATCAAGTGTTTTAAGTTATTTTAGGAAAGTGTTTGAGTTGTAAGGAGTGTATCTAAGCTTTATGCAGCACCTAGTTAAGTAAGTAATTCTTTTTTATACCTTGATTAGTTAAAGAGGTTGAAGAGAGAATTCAAGCCAAGGAAAAAGGAAGAGTGGATCCCTAGTTGATTCAAGAAGTGTTCTAGCATCTAAAGAATCTAGGTAACACACTATTAGCTTTTCCATACCAGTTGTAGGATCATTAGAAATAAGTTTAGCTTGAAAGTTGAGTATGAGCATGTTTATTAACCTTCCATGGTTGATGTTATGTTTAATGTTTTTAGCATGTTTCTAAGTCTTATTTATGTTTCTCTTTAACCACATAAGACTTTAAGAACGTTTGAGAAGCTCACTAAGGTCTTTAGGTTAGATGAATACAAGATTTTCTAGTGAAAATGTGTTTTCTGTATGTGGAGTATCGATACTATAGGGATAATATCGATACTTTTTCATCGTTCCAAGTAAAATGCATATTTTCTAAGTAGGAGTATCGTTACTCTTACAAGTGTATCGATACTCTAGGAATAGTTCCGAAGCTCCCAGACAAGTATTGAAACTTCCCTGATCAGAGGGCTAAAAAGTATCAGTACTTATATAAATTATCGAAACCTTAGTATGAGTATCAATACTCCAGGATAATATCAATACTTTCAATCTATTTTGGGTTGAAAGGTCAGTTTTCGTGGGAATTAGACTCGAGGTACCCCAACACTTCTTTATATCATCAAATAAGACTACAAGTGGAACAATATTAATGTTAATTTAAACATAGAAACCAAATAATCAGGGACAAATAAGACTAGCCTTATTTGATGCTTGGAAAACTATTCGGACACCCGGGTTCCTTTAGAAAAACTAGTGGAGTCGAAAGTATAGATGCAGTCCAGATATATCCTTAGGTAGGGCACAAGGCCCTTAAAACCAACTAACTAAAGGCGAGGCCTAACACTCGTAAGGGGTCAATTACTCAGGGGTATGGTGTCCGATACAGAATTCTGGGGGCCATATCTCAATAGACTATAGGGGTGCGTGAGCTCCGAGATTCAGTAATCCCTCATCCACACCATGTTGTATACAGTAGCGTAGAGAGTGAGTATCACAAGGATATTCACTAAGCATATCAGACTAGTAGACTTGATAGCTAGCCTTTCAATGATATGCAGTTAGTATGTTTCAATTATTACTGTCAACTTTCGGATTGTTTCCGTGGGCAGGTCAGTAGATCCAATAGGTGAGGAGCAGTAGATAGACCAAAAATAGTTCATACCAGTGTAGATTCAGAGTATGTCTAGACGTTTTGAAAGGGCATTTATAATTGTAAACTTTATTGTCTAGTTGAGTCGTAGTTTCAATAGAGTAATATGCATCATTTTTGTAAAGTGTAAATATTTCAAATTTAGAGCTCCTCAGTGTAAAGATTTTATTTATTTTTCAATTGCTTTGTATTTAAGTAAAGTAAGAAAAAAGTTGGTTAGCCACTTCGGTGGTTTCGTGTAGCACATTAAATTGGTTGATTGTGTGTCATACTGATCTAGGGTGTTACAACACAATAATAAAAGGTTGGGTCAATGTTTTTGGGAACATATAATCTGATGTTTTTGTCTATGATGAATATCCCAAAACTCTTAGATGGCTTTATTTGAGCCCACAAGTTATTAAGAGTACATTTATGAACCATTGGACAAAGTTGATTGTTTTGCGTCTACTGATATTAATATTATCAACAATTACACTAGAAACTAGGGGTGTAAACGAGCCGAGTCGAGCTCGAGTATTGCTGAGCTCGACTCGATTTGAAAACTCTGAAATGGAGCTCGACTCGACTTGAAAACTCGCGATCTTAAAATTTTCAAGCTTGACTCGAACTCGAAATCCTAAACTAAAGCTCGTGAGCAGCTTGAAAAGGCTCGAAATGAAAAAAAATCTTAAACTTAACTCGATCGAAGCCTCAAACTCAAACTTGAACCTCAACCTTAAATACATGAAAATCTTACTGTATTTTATAAAAAAAAATCAATATATAAATGTTAATATTATTAATCATTTATTTTTAAAAAATTAATATATTATATTTTCGAGTTACTCACGAGCGTTTCGAATCGAATATAAAGTAGCTCGTTTCAGCTCGTTAAGAACTCGAGTCGTGCTCGAGCTCGAGTCGAGTCCATTCAATCCGAGTATTTATTGAGCCTTGATCGAGTCGATCTCGAGTAGCTCGTCATTTGTCTCGTCTCATTTACAACCCTACTAGAAGCCTTCAACATGTATAATTAGACCAATATATCATATTTAAGTTTATGTTTAAATTTGGATTGGATAGTTCTGAATTGTTGACCTTTTATGATAAAAACAAGTTGAATCGATTCAAATTCAAGTCAATCAAAATCGGATGTTTCGACTTGGATCAAACTGCAAAGTCCTTAATTTTTGGTGTAGGACGCTACCTTTTTCTATAAATCGGAAGTCGGTAGTCATTTTGTGTGGACAAAAGAAAGAGGATAATGCGTTTGGGAAACCAAAAGCACATCTTGTCATATAATATACTAAAGTCTGAAAATCCCAAGGAAGTTTTAGCTAGTAGAGAAGAGCAGTAAACACGAGGAAATCTCAAATCAAATGATTAGCAACACTTTGTTATATCTATTTATCTCATTGTGCTAAAAAAACTTGATCAGAATAACCCATCGAGTCGAGTAACAGAGAGATCAAGGATAACTCACATCTACTAAGAATTTTAAATTTTTTTTTATTAAAAATATATTGTCTCCCATTAAAATTTTATAAGTTTATTCTTTAATATAAAATCAAACTTTGGATCATACCATCAATACAACTTAATGCAACTAAATGTAAGAAGGAAGACGACAGCAAAGGCTGTTTCATATGGGATTAAATGGCAAAGCAGAGAAAGAAGAGAGGAATGGAGCTTACTTGATGCTAGTAGCAGAGGTTATGTCATGGGCAACTGTAATCCCGTACAAGCTCTCCTGTGCTATTACTCCACACACTTTGTGCTTCTTCTCTCCTGCATTGTATTCATCAACTACAAATTAAAAATAAACAACCAACCATTTTTCTAAGACAACAAGGATTCATTTATTTTTCAACATATTTGCACAAATAACGAGAGAATATTCGTTGTAACAAAAAGACAAAACACCTTGCGAGCAGCACTCAGACCGAGGAGTATGTGTTTCGGTAGCAATATCAGTCAAACACGATGAAGACTTAAACCATGAATCCATCTAAAACTATATATATATGCAGATAAGCTTTTACTGACGTTTGGAGTCCTTGAATCAAGGGGACTTGATTCCTTATTCAAATCATCTTTCCTAGTTTTTCTTCTTTTAAATTCTTTATCATTCATTATTATATAATTCAATTCCAATCAAATTGAATTCTTTTCTTTTGAAAACAATTCAATATTATTTTTTAACCTAATTTTCTCTCTCAATATTTGTATACTATCTTCTTTTCTTTCTTTGTTTTTTAGCCGGCAACGGTACAATCTTAATATTAGTTGCCAACCTTCGGTGATTTTTATTTTTCTTGTTCTTTTTCATATTATATCTTTGTTTTTTCTTAAGTTTTTTTACTTCTAAATAAGAATCTCTATCTGAAAGAGATTGTTTCCCTGTCTTTCTCATTGCTAAACCGTGGAATATATACATGATTACAAGAGATCAATTAGGCTACAATTAAGGAAACAAAGATATACATTCTAAACTAATGATACACACTATAAACATAATATATTGAACATATATTCTAACACTCCCCCGCAGTCTTAGCGGGAGGGTCACGTACGCTAAGGCTGTCTCGAAAATCATCGAATAACACTCGCGGAAGACCTTTCGTAAAGATGTCTGCAATCTGATATCGAGATGGAACATGAAGAACGCGTACCTCGCCCTTAGCGACTTTTTCACGAACAAAATGAATGTCCATCTCAATGTGTTTGGTGCGTTGATGTTGCACCGGATTACCTTTCAAGTAAATAGCACTCACATTGTCACAATATACGAGGGTAGCTTTCTGAATGGGATAATGTAGCTCAAGTAACAAATTTCTGATCCAACAAGAGTCAGAAACCACATTAGCAACTCCTCGATACTCAGCCTCTGCACTAGAGCGTGATAATATCGACTGCCTTTTGGAGGACCACGAGATCAAGTTGTCCCCAAGGAAGACACAGTAACCTGAAGTTGATCTTCTTGTGTCTGGGCACCCTCCCCAATTTGCATCGGTGTAAGAAACAAGTTTGCCAATAGAAGATTTATACATATGCAAACCGTCGGACAAAGTACCCTGTAAATAGAGTAAGATACGCTTTAGAGCACCCATATACGCATTGCGCGGATCGTGCATGTGAAGGCACACTTGTTGAACTGCATAAGATATATTAGGTCTCGTAAAAGTGAGATATTGGAGAGCACCGGCAAGACTCCGATACTCAGTGGGATCCTCATATGGAGCATCATGAGTGGCACTAATTTTAGATTTTATGTCAACTGGTGTGTGACATGAGCTACAATTAGCCATGCCAGCCCTGTCAATGATATCTGCAACATATTTTTTTGTGACAAAAACATACCATTAGCATTACGAGTTACAGCAATCCCCAAAAAGAAACTCAAAGGACCTAAGTCCTTCATTGCAAATTCAGAACCCAACATAGCCATAAAATGCCTTCGCAAGCGGTCCAAAGACGCTGTTAGAATTATATCATCAACATATAACAGAATATAAGCAATACCAGAGCCCTGCCTGTAGACAAATAAAGAGTGATCAGATTTACTGTGAATGAACCCAATAGTGGCAACAAAGTCTGCAAATCGCTGATACCAGGCCCGAGGAGCCTGTTTTAGGCCATAGAGAGATTTCCTCAATAGACATACATGACCAGGGCGACTTTTGTCGCGAAAACCCATTGGTTGATGCATATAAACTGTTTCGTTGAGATAACCTTATAAGAAAGAATTCTTGACATCCAACTGATGTATGGGCCAAGAGTGAGAGAGATAAATCCTAAGAATAGTATGAATAGTTGTCAGTTTTACAACCGGACTGAAAGTCTCATCACAATCAATACCTTGTTGTTGTGTGTTGCCATCACCTACAAGACGGGCCTTATGCCGCTAAAAAGAACCATCAGATTTTCTTTTATGACGAAAAATCCACATAGATCTAATAACATTCACATCTGGGGGCCTTGGTACCAAATCCCATGTATGATTAGCAATAAGAGCATTAAATTCATCTAACATTGCACTTTTCCAATTCGGGTCACGAATAGCACTAACAGGGTCCTTTGGAATAGGGGAGATGTTAGGGGTGGTCATCATGTTTAGATTGTGAAAGTACTTTGTGTTAGGTTTGATGATGCCATTTTTTGCTCGGGTGGTCATTTGGTGAGATGAGGTAGCAGGCTACCGAGGAGGGTTGTTGGGCACAGGCTGGTTTGGGGCAGTATGCAACAAAGGTGTGTGCTGATAATTGAGCCCGGTTTATGACATAGAGGGTGAGGAAGGTGGACTGGGCTGTTGTGAGCCCTCGGTTTGGGGTGTGATAGTACCAGGTGAGAGAGAGCTTGGGCCAGGTGAAGAAGAGGGCATGTAGGAGGGAGATGGGTCAGACTGCTCATGAGTAGCTGTTGAGGAAAAGAGGGTTGAGTGCTTTACAAATGGTGGAAGTGATTTAAAGGATTTGCATCCAGAAAATCATATTTATGTGAAAATGGCGTATGAAGTTTGGAAAATGGAAATTCATTTTCAACAAATCTAACTTGTCTGCAGATTATGATTTTTCCATTTGACATATCATAGCACTTTGAGCCGCGATGATTTAGCGTGGGGCCAAGATAGACACAAGGGGTGGACCTTTCTTGCAATTTGTGGATAGAAATAGAAGGAAATAAAGGAAAACATAGACAACCAAAGATGTGTAAATCTGAGTAGATAGGATCATATTGATATAAAATCTGAGTGGGAGATTTTAAACCTAAGACTTTGGTTGGAAGTATGTTTAGGAGGTATGTGGCCATTTCTAAAGCATGATGCCAAAAAGGGAGGGGCAAGGAGGCATGAGCAAGTAAGGTCCAAATGATGTTATTGATTGATTTTATGTGTCGTTCGGCTTTTCCATTTTGAGGAGATGTGCGAGGACATGAGAGACGAAAAATCATGCCATGATGATCAAAGAATTCTTTAAGAGTTCCATTAATATACTCTGTGCCATTGTCACATTGAAAAGTCTTAATGTGACGTTCAAATTGGGTTCAGACAAGTCTATGAAAAGATATGAATAAGTGTTTAACTTGGGATTTCTTTGTAATAGTAAATGTCCATAAGAATTTGTTGTAATCATCAAGAAATAAGACATAATAACAGTGGTCAGAAGAACTAGCAATGGGAGAAGTACAGAGATCACTATGAACAATATCAAAAGGAAGAGCAGTAGACGACAAAGAAACATAAAAAGGTAACTTTGAGTGTTTCCCGAGAGGACACGAGGAACAATAAGTTTTACAAGCCTTATTACAATCAATAAATTTTTTACTACTTATAGACCTAAGAACAGCAGTACCAGGATGTCCTAAGCGATTATGCCAGAGATATGAAGAAACAACAGCAAAGGTGAAATGATTGACTGGAGAAGTGGCTTGAGTGTTTGAAAAAATTGGATAAAGGTCACCGGTACTGTCACATCTCATTAGTTTGGCTCTCGTCTGTAAATCATTCACAGAAAAGCCAAAGGGATCAAATTCAACTGAAACCATATTATCGGTTATGAACTTACGGACATATATTAAATTCTTAATTAATTTTGGAGCATGCAGCACATTGTTTAAGGTAAATGGAGGGTACGGGGAAGGCAAAGTAGTACTACCGTGACCGATAATTAGAATTAAATGTCCACTACAAAAAACAATGTTATTATTTTTAATGCTCGAATTGACATAAGATGAAAGAATACCTTGGTCCGCTGTCATATGAGATGTAGCTCCGGTGTCCATATAATAATTCCCATCCGGTTGCGAAATTGAGAAAGCATGCATAGCCGCCTCATTATTCGTAGGTGTGTACGAAGGGGCCATGGCGCTATAAGCCTGTAGACGTTTAGGCCTAGCACCGGAGGGGGGAGCAGCTGGTTTAGGATCCCACGAAGCTGCTGGATATGGGCAGGGAGGATTGGGTCATTGAGCTAGCCACGGGGTCCAGGATGCCGGCAAAGAATACTGACCATGCTGCTACCATGTCGGTCCAGAGGCCTGCCCATATTGCTGTTGGGATGGCCCATTAGCATTACGGCCTTTTCCAGAATTTTTAGCCTTTTTTTCTTAGTGTTTCTGGAATTCGAACGGGAGCCGTCAGTGTTCTGATGGGTGGTGGAAGTTGAGACAAGGACCGTCTGTGGGTAGTTGGTGGAACCACTCTCCTTAGCTAGGCAGTTTTTGATGGTCCGCTCAGCCAATTTTAGACGAGATCGACAACTTCGAACGAAGGTAGAGGTTCTTGATTTTGAATGAAATCCATCGTCCCGTCATAGGCCTCTGGGAGCCCAGCCGTGAGCTTGAGAACGAGCCGGCAGTTGGGAATCGGAGCATTAACATCAGCGAGACGATCAACAAGTGATTTGATGTGATTACAATAGCCATCAATGGACGAGAAATTCTCAAAGTCGAGGTCAGCAAGCTCTTGCTCGAGATGAGAGGCACATGAGGCTTTATTATCTTGAAACATAGACTCGAGACGAGCCCAAGCACCATGAGCAGTGTCGTCCTTGAGAAGAATAGCATGAAGAAGATCCGTGGAAATGGTTCCATAGATCCATTGAAGGACTGCAGCGTCCAACCGCTTCCAAAGAGAAGGATCAGCGGCCATAGAGGCTTCATATGCAGCCTTCTCCTTCGCCTCCGTAGGAGGAATAATATGATTATGGAGATCGTGAACCCTAACAAGCACCTTAAAAAAGGCGGCCCAAGAGTGATACATTCCATGATCGGCATCCAACGTGATGGGAACAAGAGACTTAACGTTGGTTATGGTTAAAGCCGGATGAAATTTTTGTGTTTCAGCCATGGAAAGTGTAGTGCAGCGGAAGAAGAAAGAAGAAAGATAGGCAGAGGAAGAAAAGAGGGTCGAATGTTAGGAGAGAAACCAAGAATGGAAACCCTGCTCTGATACCATGTAAGAGATTGATTCCCTGTCTTTCTCATTGCTAAACCGTGGAATATATACATGATTACAAGAGATCAATTAGGCTACAATTAAGGAAACAAAGATATACATTATAAATTAACGATACACACTATAAACAGAATATATTGAACATGTATTCTAACATTACAAGAGATCAATTAGGCTATAATTAAGGAAAAAAAGATATACATTCTAAACTAATGATACACACTATAAACAGAATATATTGAACATATATTCTAACACTATCCTTTTGACATGCTTTTTCTCTACTCTTGTGATACGTTCCTTATGGTTTTCGATAAGTTTTTCGTATACTTCTACGGTCGTGTTGGTGCTTCTACAAAGATCATCCTGTCATTTGTTTTCTGATTGGCTTGTCGGTAGTCATGTATTGTCAGATCTCCTATTTTGTAAATGGTCATTTGTTTGTATAATTAGAATTGTGTAGCGAAGTAGTCTGTCAAACTTTTTGGTTCACTCACCACGTCTTTATCACATCGTAAAGCTTCTCGTTCAATAGAGACAAAGAGTTTTATAAAGGCTACTAGATTGTTTTGATGTCTGGAAGATTTCAATCTCTTAATATCTTTGGGCTTAATATTTTAATTTTATATATGAGTTTTTGGTGACTACTATCTCCAATTTTCTTTTTAGATGCGTTGTAATTTTGATTTCTAAATTTTATTAATGAAATTCAGTTGTCATTATTCAAAAAATCTTTTCTTTTCAAATTGAATTCTAAGGTAACTCAAATTATAATCGATAAATAATTGTATTATAATAAACATTTGCTCGGTGTTTAAAGATTTTTAGAGTTAATTACATCATGTGTCCTCAAAGTATAACTTTTATTTTAAATTAGTCCATAAACTTTTAAATTTTCATTTTCATCCCCAAACCATGACTATAATCTTAAATGACTCCTCATACTTTTGAATATTTTAATTTCATCCCCAAACTATAACCTTCATTCTAAATTGGTCCCCAAACTTTTTGAACATTCCAATCTCATCCCAAACTATATTCATACAATAATCACATCCCTTGTTAGTAAAATAGTTAGGTCAAGTTATATTGTTATATGTATTGGTTGAATATTACTTACTCGGTGTTTAAAGATTTCTTGATTGATTTAGTATTAATCCCACATCGATTACTATTCCGGATACAAGACAGAGACTGTGAAGGCTTACCCAAATACAAAAGAACAGCATCCATGTAAGAATGGACTCGGATGGGGCCATGTTGAGGGTGATGAAACATGTAGCAGTCACAAAGAAGGTAAGTCGAAAGAGTGGTGATAGCTGCAAATGCGAGCATGCTGACTGGACCTGCAATCCATCCCAATTGAGCAATGCTCCAGGCCAGGGATAATACGGCAGCTCCTATCACTCCTGATATTATGTGCGCTATCGCTGCCCATACGGACCCTTCACATTCAACATCAAAAAGTTAGACCCCAAAATCGCTCATTCACTGATTTTACCAATTATGTAAAAAAAAAAACACTGCTTTTACCAAAGCAAGGGAGATATGCTGAAAATATGTTACGCCCAAAAGATATGGTAAAAAAAAGTTTATGCTAAATGTGTTGCATGAAAGACAATTTAGCATTCAAAATCTTTAACTTCCTTTTTGTATGGAAGATTTGGAGTGATTTTAATTTATAACTAAAATATTGACTATACGTGTATGTGGAAGAAATCTTTTATATACATTCACGAGTTTTTACGAGTTGGAAATTATATCTTGAAATTAGATTTATCAATTTTGAGTCAAATTTGAAAATGTGATAACAATTCAAAATTTAAAGTAATTTCAATCCAAATTGTTTTGATTATAAAAATTTAATAATTCAGATCTATCCAACTGAAAGTTGAAATGATCCAAACTCGAAAGTAATATAAACCCTAATTGACTCAAAGTTGAAATTATCTATGATTTAAAACAACTCAAATAATGACCTAAACAATTAATATGAAATAACATGAACGATCGTATTCTGAACACGAAAATAACATGAACCTGAAATGATCATAACTCAAAATAACTCAAATCTAAATGAACCAATAATGACTTAACTAAAATGACCAAAACTCAAAATGATTTAAATATATTAAATATCTAACCCGAAAATCTTAATACTTCGAATGATTCTAAATTAAACTTAGGGTAAATTAAAATTTTCTCACAAAAACTTTATTTTCTTTAATTTCACTCGTTGTATTTTTTAATTTTTTTAATTATATCATTAAATGTTATACATTAAATTTTTTTTATCATTCCATATTAATTATTTAATAATGTTATAATATGACAACTTATATCGCTTTCATTAGGTCATCAACGGCCACCGAATCGCCAAACCAGTAGCTTAAAATCTTTCCAGAAGGATAAAAAACAGAGATCATAAAATCTTTCCACAAGAGATGCTAACATCTCATGTTTTTCTCCCGAGAAAAAAACAGAATCCAACTAAGAAATGATCCCATTTGTTCTTGAACCACTCAAAGTCTCCAAAATCACACTTTTTTTTGCTTCCCGGAGGAAGAAAAAAATTTGTTTTTTCCCCTTAGAAACAAAGAACAAAAAATTGTTCAAAGGGCTCAAAAACATCACTAGTAAGCGTTTTGTTTTTGACTTCTTTGGTTGCACAAACAATAACAGACCCGTCTCCATTTCTTGGAGAAGAAATTCAAAGAAATGAAGAGGAAGAAGAAAGAGAGGATTGCGATGGAGCAGAGGAAAACAACGAAAGACCTTGATTTTCCTTCTGAGGATTCAACAAATAAAAAGTTGGAGCAGCTTTCAACATCATGGCTTAAGAAAATAGAAAGATAAAGCTTTTGATGAAAGTGGAAATGAGTAACCGACATTGAAAAACTAAGGAATTGAAGGGGTGATTTTGCTCTGCGGCAATCCAATATTGGCTAAAACACGATAATTTTGTACCGAAATAAAAAAATGCGATAAAAATTACAATATTTTAGGTTGGACGAGACTTAAAAATATTATAATATTTATAATATTTTTGATTGAACTTAAAATATTATAAAAAATTGTAATATTTTCGGTTGTCACTAAAAATGTTAGAAAAATTAACATTTAGGTTACATCAAACCTAAAATATTATAATTATTGTCGTTTTTTAATCTTAAATTAAATTGTCGTCCCTTAGACTTTCCCTAATTAAGGAGTCCTTGAGTGATGAAGAGAAAGAGGAGAATCCTAATATTTTCATTTTATTTTATTAAATTATAAATCCTACGTGCCATGTTATACTATTAAAATAAGTCACATAATTACTCTATTAATGAAAAAATAGTTGATAGACCAAGAAAATTTAATGTATAAAATTCAATGATTAAATAAAAAATTAAAAGTATAATAAATAGAATAAGAGACGAAATCATGAAAAAAATGCCTTATATGCATGTGCATATACAGCAAGGATGTCAAATAAACATGAACCAAACATTTCAGGTATCTTTTAACATCATAATGTTTGAAATTAATTATATGGAAGCTTATAGTTTTTCTCTTTTTGGACCGAATATGGAAGCATGTACCTGGTGTCACTATCAACAATTACTAATAATATCTAGCTAACTTTCGACTTTCCGTGTTTTGTAACACTAAAATATGAAATATGTCCGTCTTTCAAACTGCATCTACCACTCAACGCCTCTTTTTAACCCAAACAACTGCAGATTCAAATCATCATACTTTCCACCTTTCATTCATATTTAAGCTCCTTCTTCATTAATTTGATTTTATTTTTGGCTTAGAGGTTCCCTTCATTTTCTTCCGATAATATAAGAACTGATAATTCACCGTAACTTTATGTAAGGAACATTGTTTTATCCTATTGGTCATCCTACAGAATTTGACCCATGATATGAAAGCAATCAACTATATATGCACAACGTGAAAAAATAAGGAACAAAGAAAAGGGTCATCAGTTAAAGCACACTCATATGCATATATATATATATATATACCAGTCCTGTTAACATGCTGTGCTGATACTTGATCAGTTGAGGAAGAACTTCCCAGCAATGGAGACTGGCTGTCTTCTCCAACTTCATGGACCATCTTCGATGTCTCTTCTGTTTATTCAAAAATATTGATGAAAGGAAAAGAAATGAGATATGGTCGATGTTTCGAAAGGTTTGCAGATCACTTTTTCTTTTTTATCTAGTCGAATCTCAAGTACCGAGTAATGAAAAGAAATGTCAGCAGATACTCGTATTATTTATATCCATGCGCAAGTTGAAGGTTAGGTAAGGTTTGAAGAATTGCAGTTAATTAGATTTATCAGCTATATATATACACACACACACACATTATTCAAATGAACAACAAACTATGAAGGCTATAAATAATATACTCTGTAATTGTAAGGTTACTAGCTTACTTTAGTCAAAATAGTAAACCTCTGCAAAGGGTTACTGGCCTAGCGTAGTATAGTATGCTATGAAACCATTATGATTCTTTTCATTAAACATTATATACTTGTCATTATCTATGATTTCAAAAAATTACTTATTATGCGTTCTTTATGTTTTAGTTTAAGTTAGCGTCACCTAATTCGTGGTTCGTGAAACGGATACGAGATTGAAATTTATTAATTTTATCTTTGTGGTTCGTTGAGGGTAATATTCGTTAGAATAAATTTTGAGATCATGATTCGTGGTGATATTCTTTTTGTTGGCTGATATTTTTTAAAATAGTTTGTCCATATGTTAAACAGAGAAAATATAATTTTTTTTAATTATTATAAAATTAAAGGACTAATTTTATGATTAAACTAAAAATCTTTAACCGAGAGTATGATCGTGACATCTCAACGTTCTTCTTTCTCATCACACACCTTCACTTTTCCTTTCTTTTCCACCAAAATGCTGATCAAAAGAAATCTATTGACTCCACTGCTAACGATTGGTAAAATCGAACTTTACATCGTCTTCATTAGCTCTTCATCCACCCTTCTCCCACTGAACTCTTCCCCCTATCTTTGTTTCCTTAATTTTTGTTGTGATGAGTTTTTGATACGCTAATTTCAGCGTTTTAGCATGCAAATGAATCCCAAATTGAAACGAACGAATTCAAATGAGGTTTGTGGGAGTGTGAGTGAGTTAGGTTACAGTAGTTCAATATTAGTGTTACTCTATGAAAAATCCAATTACATCATGTTACTCTATCACTACTGTCTTTTACGCAAAAGCAAGACTATTTTTCATCCCCAAAAGCTTAAATCTTGATTTGTCACAAGATTATAATCATAAAAATACACAGTTTAATCTTGCATTTGACATAGCTCTGGTAAAACAAATGGAAATGTTGCTGTCAGCAAACTATTTACACCAGCTTGCGATGCTTTGAGGGACAAACTTGTATGAACTTTCCAGGTTCCAAAATCCAATCCCCATAACTCAACTGTTTCACTGGTCAAGTCTTGGGTTGCCTCCTTTGATCTGTAATATCGAACCGATTACATGCACCACAACCATTACTAAAACAATGGAAACCGCAAAGGAGAAACCAAATCAAAACAAGGAAGAAGTGACCAGCTGCCGAAGGATCGAAGAAATGTACGAGTTCAGAGTGATGGAATAATGGAAAATAGAAGAAATAAGATCAGACAACATACTAATACTTTTACCTTGCTGAAGACCACATCCTTTACATAATGTTCAAGCCCTCCACAAAAGAATGCACATCCAATAACAGGCAGCATATTGACAAAATTGAGCCCAACGACGATAACTGAACGACACGTGTCATTCCACTTTTCAGTGCATAAATTTGAAATAATCAATTCGGTTTCATTCCCAAATGTAGCGTTTAGAAGACCACTCACTGTAATTCGTTTATTCGAGAAAACTACGATCTTTATGCTCTTATAAACACCATTCCTTAGTCATTTTATTCCCACCAACAGGCAAACCAGAGATCAGAACTGGTTGATTTGAATGAACAGGATGTGCCTTTTGAGCATACATTTAAGAGGATTAGAGGTACTCATCATTGAGATCATGCATTGCCCCATCATCTAGTGGTCCCATCTACAACAATATGCACTAAAACATTAAAAATGCAGGCTCTAAAGACATTAAAAAAGAATGAGCAACTTAAAATGCATATCCATTAAGTTAGAAGATAACGAGACATCAAAGAAATTATAGACATCCATTTTCATCCGAAGTTACTTAAGGGTTTTTATGTGTATATTACATGGTAAAATATTTATATTAGATATAGTATAATGTATATAATATATATAATTTTTGAAAATATATATATTTAATAAATAGTTTCGAAAAATATATATAATATATAGTTTTTGACAATATATCTATAATATACATAATATATAGTTTTTTAAATAAATAAAATATATAACGTATATTTTTTGAATATATATATAATATATAAAATATGTAGTTTTTGAAAATATATATTATCATATATATTTTTATTATTTTTTTATTTTTAATTTCAAGTTTGGTCCAATAAAAATCCAATCCATGTTTGGTCTAAGTCCAATCCAAGTTTTAAGGTCCAATGTAGTTTAAGTCCAGTCCAAGTTAGAATCCAAAGCCAAAATCCAAAAAAGAAACCCGTCTGCCTGACCTAGCAGTGGATAACCCGAATAACAGACCTATATGACCTAGCGGGCAGCTCCACTAGGCATGACAATAAAAGCCCAATGCCAAGGATTTCAAAGTTTGTTCTAGCGTCGCATGACCCAGAGTTGTCTGATCACAAAAGCAATCAAGGGCTCAAATTGCAAGCATAATTTGAAAACCCTAACATTATGACTAGTGCGCAGTTGCCTTAAGGTCGTTGGATCTGGCCTTATGATCCAACTATTCATATTTCATTAGCTCACGCACCGGCGAAAAACCATTATCAGGCAATTTTCAAGCTATTTTGACAAGCAAAACTTCGAAAACATTTCTAAAACACAAAACAAATCAGAATCAACACCAAATCAAACCAAATCAGTGGTTAATTATCAAGGACACAAGCAACAATCAAACCGAACCCAAAAAGGCAACAAAGATCAACAGAATGAAAACATGCAAAGTAAAAAACAAGTGACAAAAAGGAAATTAGAATTAAATCTCCTTATCCCGACGATTGTGGGATGAGAGAATCACTAGACTAAGGGGGATTTGTCTCCAAAAAAATGATAGAGAAGCGGAATTGGATGAATGAACTTTGCTCTCATCGAGGAAATAAACCTAGAAAGCTCTAAACAAGATGATGAAAACGAAGGGTTTTGAAGGGATGAGATGGGAGACAGTAAGGATTAATCTTTTAGGGTTTTTAGATGTTAGAATTAAGAAAAATAAATAATATTAGTGTCGTGGCCATTTTTCAGGTGGGCCCAAAATTGGGCTTCGACTTAAGAAAATGGGTTAGAGTCGCCATCGATCATTTTAAAATAATATTTAGGTGGATCAGATACCATCTTACCTGATCTCTGTTTTACCATAAATGTGTCAGATTCGAGAGTCGGTTACAGTCAAGGAAGGATTAGCACCCTTGAATTGCCCTTTCGGTACCAATTAATTTGTCGTTTATCTTAATTGTGAAAAATTAAAAATGTAAATTTAAATTTAAAAAATTATTTAAATTACTTACATTCGATTGATTTAAAAATTCCCCTAAAAAGTCAAAAACATTATATTACAAAAATAAAAATAAAAAAGAATAAAAAAATAAAAAAATAATATAATAATAATAAAAAATGAAAAAAAATAAATAAAAAATGTTAAGAAGATAAATATTAACAAAAAAACCAAAAGGAAAAAATAAAATATAAATAAATAAAAGGACCAAATTGAATTAAATTGGACTTTATGGACTAGAATTAATGCTAAAAATGAACTGCAAGGAAAAAAGAATTAGAGGATTAATTCGTAAAATATAAAAAGTATAGATAGGGATTAAATTGAATGAATTGAAAATTCAGAAGCTAAATTACAAACGGTGTCCGAATTGCAATGCGCTTCTAACTTACAGGGACAACGAAAATGATTATACTATTGGTTAATTACAACCTAGTCCCTCCCTTATAAATACGAAAAAAACAAAAAAAAATCATTTCTCACCCCAACAAAAAAATCTTCTCTCCTCCCCTAAACTCTCCCAAAACCAGCCTCCATCTCCGATGGAACCCCACCGTCAACCGCTGATCGAAAATCACTCCAGCCACCACCCACGGTGGTCGGAGACCCATAAGCTATACCTTTCGTAAGCCCTTTTTCGCCTGACCCCGAATCTAGTCACCGATCATCAAAAAAGCTCTCAATCATCGTAGATCTACGCAAATAGATCTAGAACTTTACCTTTCCCCAATGACTATTGGCCTTTTCGACGGTGTTTCGGCTGCTTTGGTTGTTGTTGTTGAATATTTTCTTTTTTTTCCTTGTGGTTCGATTGTGTTGTGTTGCTTTCTTCGATGTGTTGTTTTCATATCACCGTTGATGTTTGTTCTTGTTTCGATGTTGGTGGTATTTTTCGCTCTATTTTTTGTGCAGTGATGGGTTCGATGATGGTTCTGATGTTGTTTTGATGTGTTTGTGGTCGGTTCTCCGATCTTGGTTCCTGGCTCTGTGATAGACTTGGTGGGGTATTTATATCCTACCGCTGGTGGTTTATTTCCGGTGATCTCGGGATCGTTCTTGGTTATCTCGGGACGTTGGTTGACTGTTTCGCAGTCATGGGTTTGACCGAACACCCCGGGATTGTTCAGTCCTAGGGATTTCGGCCGAAAACTGTTGGTCGTTTGGGTGCGTGGCCACCACACGCGTTGTTTGTTTCTCCATGCAACATCCTTGCTAAAATATGTAACCCTAATTCGAGATTAGGCTGGGTGAGGCCCAAACCCGGTTGGGTAGCCTAAACCCGGTTGGGCAGCCCACACCCGGTCTGGACCTGGAGTTGGACTTATTGGACCCTAGACCAAAAAATAAAAAAAATAAAGTTAATAAAATACAATAAAATAAATAATAATAATATATATTTTCAAAAAAAAAAACATTTTAAAACTATATATTATATATATTTTAAAAAGTTTTCAA